AGATACTTTGAAGTATTAATAAATAACAACAGTAATTCATGCATATTTTTTTTTTTTTTAATGTTGCAAATAAGATAGCAATACTTAAATATGGAATACCGAAACAAATAAAATTTACACAAAACCATAATGAGAAATAACATGTTATTAAAATGCATTATAAGAATTAAATTATACCAAAATTTTTTATCTGAACATATATATTTTTATTTTAAACCGCCCTTGAACAGCCGTCCCAATTTTTGGTTCTATGACTACTGATGTTTAACTCCCTAGCCTTGTAATTTTGAACCTAATTCAGAAGACAAGGGAACTTTTGGATAAAGTATTTAGGGAAATCTTCCATCATGGAGAACTTTTTGTTGAAACTAACTCGCATTTGCATTACATGGAGAGGAACACCATAAAAACCTCCCACAGTTTGTTCGACTAATCAAAATAACAGAAAGCTTCAGGTGTGATATAACAATACCAGGTTTTCTTTGTTCTACATTTAAATGACTATTTTTTTATCACTCTTAGGAGATGAGATTAGTCAGAATGTGATTCTTTCACTCTTATTAAGAAATTACAGAATTAAATGGCTTATATTTATATATAACTTAGGGCCCATTAATATAAAATTTGAATCAAAATAATATTATCAGGGCTGCCACTGGATGAAAACAAGAAAAATAGTTGCTTTAGTTGCATCATATATGAAAAAAAGTCTCCTAAATAGTCTCCAAGATCAGGGTTGGGTTTTTAACGTCAAAAAGTGGTTTTTGACTTGACAAGGGTATAATACTGGTTCAAACCGTTGAAAACCCGTCAGCAACTGAAGTTTGCCAAGAAAATATATAAACTTCAAAACTACCAACAGTTGCCATGCATTATATTGAAATTTAACTATACTATAGGTAATCAGCAGGTTTTAAAATATTTTTTAATTAAAATGAAGGCAAAATAACAGATTTAAAATCTCAGAAATTTATATTCAAATACATGTGCAGAAAATTTTGGACAAAAATTTTTTAAATATTTATATTTTGAAAAAAAAATTTTTTTTTTTTGATATTTAAGAAAATTAAAAGTTTATTACTATGCATTTTTGACATATAAGGAACATATAACTAATATTTATCAGGAATTTACAAGTTATGTTGTATGAATACAAACTTGATACAAGTGTACAAAATTTTTTTTTTAATGTTATACTGAATATCTTTATTATCCAGTATGTTAATTTGAATTTAAAAGTAGTTATATTNTAAAAAATCGCAAAAGGGATAAATTCATTTTATTGTCCATGTGGTAGTTTCAATGTCAACTGGGTGTGGCCAATTTATGGTCAAACAGAGGAGGGAAATTCGGGGGCAGTAAAGCACAGCTGTCAAGATTGATTGATCAGTTTTTTCCAACTTCCATTTCTTTATTTTGTTCATTGGAAATGCGGGTGTTTTTACTTCTCACTTTATTTTAAACTGCTTTAGAAACAGATGTTTCCTTTGATACAGATTTATTATTATTTTTTTCTTCAGGCTTCGTTTTTATTTTTAAAAGATAAAATAAAGTAAGTTACTTCAACAGAATAAAATTCAAAATAAAAAGAATATAGCTGATTTTTTTTGTCTTAACAATATAAATTTCTTAAAAGAAAAAACGAAAAAGATTAGAAGTCAAGGTCACCTTGATTGGAATGTACACTCACTGATAAGAATGTGAGAAAAATTTAGGGTGTGGTGGGAGAGTTGAATGTAAAAGATTGAGCAGAAAAGAAAGACGGTGCTTAGAATTTTCTTGAGTACCGTTTATCGGCCCCCCTCTATATCACGCCGATTTTCGTCAAAATTAAGGGGGGCGCTTTATCGGTATTTTACGGTATCCTAATTAAATACATAATTTTAAAAATTAGAGCATGCATCACACTACATAATCAAAATGAAAATGATGGAAGTAGAAATTTAATTCAAAATTCAATAGTCTAGTTCATTTGTTCCTCGCAGCATGCAGTAGCACATAACTAGTTTTGAACATTTTTCTGTAAGATTTTCAATATCACATGAAAATGAATACATAATATTACAAAAGATGTGAGTTTTCAAAAGTACAAGATTTTGGTTACCATTCAAAATATAAGTGTTTCTTCAAAATTTTAAATTTATTTTTTCTAGAACATATTTAGAAACACTATCCTTTATAAAATATATATAAATTTTATGTATTAATTAAATTTCACATATGAATATAGGTTTTTGACATTTTTGACAGTGAGGTTTTTGACATGACGGTTTAAACCGTCAAAAACTGTCACATGTCAAAAACCTGCCAGCCCTGTCCAAGATATATAAAATAGTTGTTAACATCATATCCTCCTCTAACATAATTTTAATTATTTGTGCCGTAATAGCATAAAATTCAAAAAACATGCAGTTAGATACTCATATTCAATAAAAAATCTACATTTATTTGTGGATTTACCAACAATATATTCTTTCACACTACGCAAAAAAACAGGGAGTTTTATTTTTATCTGTTACAGAACAGTTGAATTTGAAACTTGAATTTCCTTTCTCGGTTCTAATTTGCAGCTGCTTAGTTTAGACATTAAAAAATAATAATAATAAATATTGCAATTTAATTCTGTTTTATTTTGTTTATTTTTCATAACCGACACATTTCCAAATTTTAAAGCTTATCAAATAAAATTACGATCACAACTAGACAAAACGAATATCACCATGTACCCTTTTTTCTATTCTAAATAGCTCTAAAAAAATTAACAACAAATTTTGTGTAATTAAAGAAAATTTTTCTAATTCGTTCAAACTAAAAAGAGTGGAAAAAACTTAATCCTCAGAGATATTACACTAGCTTTCTGAAGCAGGACTGGAGGAGCATTCACGTATGTGCGAATTCCAATACCATCAGTCTGATTGATTAAATAAGTCTGTCATACTTTTGGCATCAAACAGTGAGAAATAATTAAGTTAGGATAAAACGAAACCATGGCAAAAAAATGGGGGAAGCTCATGAAGTTATTCTTCACTTTAGTCGCTTCGGCTTAAAAAAGTCGCAGATTTTACGCAAATCATTGCAAATTAGTTGTTTTTACTCATATTTCTACTAAAATAGTCGCCATAGTTGCTATTGCTTTAAAATAGTCGTTTTAGTCGCCTTTTTAGTCTCCAATGGCAGTCCTGTATTATATACTTAATACGGTACTTGCGTATTAATGCAACCAGGCCAAAATTCGCATAAATCGCCAAATTTGGCGTAAGTAGAAAAAATTGAAATCAATTTTTTTTATTATAAAACAAAGTATTTTATAAACAAAATTATAAGCATATATTTTAATAACTTTTTAGATTACATATTATTTCGACATCACATAGTGCATTATTTCTCATAACAAATACAGTTTTTTATATTATTTTGTTTTAAAATATAAAATAGCAATTAAACCCTTCCGGTTTCGAATTTGAATAAGTTGCAGAATTATTTTTTCGGCGGAAATCTTCAGTTTCATTTTATGAGAATTTTTACAAGTACGTTCGTTCGGTATAATTCCATATCCCTGTAACAATTCAACAGCATCTTTTTCACTTGCAGGCAGATCTCAAATACCCTATTTCACAGCATTCAATCTAACCAGTAAGCAAAATAATTTGTTTACGAAAAACCACGTATAACACGTAGGGTTGGCGTAAGTAGGGTCGCCAAATTTGGCGATTTATGCGAATTTTGGCCTGGTTGCGTTAATACGTATGTACCCTTAATACTACATATGCATAAACAGGGATCAGTCCAGACCGAATTTACTACCGTTTAGCGGTACCTTCACATATTCAGCTTTAGGAAAAACGGTAGCTTCACAAATTCAATTTTAGGAAAAAGGTAGTTTCACAAAATACTTTTTCCTAAAATTTTACTTTTGTATTCCTTAAGAAATGATAAAAAGGTCAAGAAAACTGATATGGGCACATTAGGCCTTGGCCCTTAAGGGCTGTCGCGCCCCTGCGTTAAGAAATGATAAATCCATATTCTAGCCATATTTTTGTGTTGGATTTTTAAATATAATGTTTAATTTTCACAAATTATGTCTATATTTTCACAAAATAGGTACCTCTCAGAAAAACCTAGACAGACCCCTGATAAATCATATGGGAAGATCTCTGTATTAGTAAATACATCAAAATAATCACCAACTTTTGGCCATTTTCAGGCCATGGAATGAGAAAAACGGCAACAACAAAAAAAAAAACATTATAAACCAACTTGACGGGTGTAACTTTTAGCCTCTCTCAGGAAGACGGGGATATTTCTGTAAGCGTGATCTGTCGTGCCAACTGCAATCGCCAAATAGATTATAAGCCTGCAAATTTTATTAAAGAAACAGGTGGATATTTGACGGGGGTGGCAGGGAGTTATACTTTTTGAGTTGGTCAATTTCTGAGATGTTTTTCTTTAATTTATAGTCAGTCACTACCCCTAAGTCGCCAATACTTTGCAATTATTCTGACACAGATCACTATAAGGAAATCTCGCAGAACAACAACTGCACATTTTTATTTAAAAAATTTTAGAAAGTTTGAAAATGGCGATTGTAGTTAACACAGAAAGGTACTGATACCCAAACCCATATTATAAAAAAAAACATTCATCGGAAAAATAGAGGATTTGTTCAAACAAATTTCAGGTCTAAATAAAAGCTTTTCCATAAAGTACTTCTGTATCGTGATCTGTTATGCCAACTACAATCGCCAAGGTGCAAAATAGATTTTAAACAGGGGTGGCTATGAGTTACACCTTTTGAGTTGGTCTCTTTTTGTGATTTTTTTTTTTTTTAGTATCACACGGTCCGCTGCCCGGAAGTTGCCATGACTTGGCGATTATTCTGTCACAGATCAGGATACGGAAATCTACCCTTTTGAACAAAAATAACTTTGTAAATACACCTAATTATTTCATAAAAATTTGATTATTTTACATACTACTATTTGTATCAAAATATTCCTTACCTGTTCAACTACTAAGATAATAAGAAATCCGAATCCTAACAACATTTCACTTAAGGGATATGAAGGAGTCAAATCTAAAGATTTAACTATGTGATCAACTTGATCTCCAACGTCAGGAAATAGATGCAATAAACATGTACCTAAAAATACTCCTCCTGCAAAACAGCTCAGAAAGCTTAAAATTTTTCTGCGATTTATGTGCCTATCCGCAGGATCATAAAGCGATAAAGGTTGCCTAAATATCCACAAAGGTAACATTGATGCAAAAAATGTTAAAAGCAGCAACGCAAGTGCAGAAAGAACTTTCACGCTAGAAAGATCCATGTTATTTGGATTAAAAAATGGATAAGATAATAAAGGCAAAATATAAAAGAACAGAAAGAATCTTTAATAAACTAAATGTAGCTGCATCATCGAGTAATAATTAACTTGGTAAAGGTAAATATTATATACATCAATGAAATGAAGATAAAAACAGGGAAAATTGAAGATTAGGATGGAAGATTGAATGGTCAACAGAATAAATTTTTACAATCAATACTTGATATTGAAGAAATGGATAAAAATAGTGAATTTGAAATCACATGATTATGACTCATGCTAAAGGAAGTATTTAAAAGAACACAAGTTTCGATATCGCGCAGAATGCACATAAAAAGTATGTCATCACTGCCACAGCCTCATTGATTGATTGATTACGAAATTCCATTTTTATTTCACTTCAGTACTTGCAGTGCAAACAATTACAGTGTGACGGACAAAGTGTTATAAAAATAACTTCGACTTTGAACTATACTTTTGATCGGAAATATCGCGTATTTAAAATTCGATTTTTCACGCATTAATCAACCAATTTCATTCCAATTTTGTATTTTATCTTATAAAATTACATCTTTTAAAATGAAGTAAAAATTTGCATAACTTAAAATTCAAATTTTTTCGATTATTATTTAGGTTATAACCAGATATGAAAATTAAGTGGTTCAATAGGACTGCTTAGATATTCATTTAGTGATCCAGAAACTAAATATGGTAGACAAAAAAAAAATCGAATTTCGCAATTACATAATTAATGTTATGGTACATATCAAAAGTTATTAATTACCATCCATTACACCCTGAAACTATTTTGATTCATTAGTTCATAATTATTTAAGATTACCATTTATTAAAATTAAGTGTAAAAAAATAATTTTGGAAAATGGATTCAACATGGATATTAAAATGCTTCTAGTAAATAGGTAAATAAATAAATTAGGAAAACAGAGAAAAGTGAAAGTAAAAACTTGCAAAATACTACACTAAAAATTAATTATCTTAAAATTATAAAATTTTGAATAACGTCAATTCTAAAAGAGCCAGAAATATTATTTCATTAATGAACATTTATACTGACAGTACATGAATGCAAATCATAGCACAACACGTAAATTTGAAGTTTCATAATTTAAATTAAAAAAGGTTCTGCAAAAGTAACTTTCTGTTATTCTATTTGAATGCCACGACGCATTTGAACTCCATACCGTGCATTAAATAATAAAATTAGTGCAGCAAATTTTCATAGAACTCAATGCAAGAAAAAAACTATTTTTCGTTACTATTTTATAAATTCCAACCATATTTGAAAGGAACAAATTTGCCACCCATGCATAGCAAATATCAGCAAAACATTTGGCGACAATAGTCCCTGCCCTGGAGTGAGCCCTAATTATTGTTTTAAAAAAACGTAATTAAAAATATTAGATAAGTATTAAAATCATTTTTTCCAGGGAATTCACAGTGGGAATGGGATGCAGCTTCTTGAAAGTTTGGTTTTGAATGTTTATTTTTGTCTCATAAGTTAGGTGATTTTAGAAGCAAGGAAAGAAGTTCAACCGGTTCTGTTACGAAACAAGCTCAGCTTTATGTATGTTAAAAATATGGTAAAACCTCTTCGCTGGCTTCAGAACTGGTTTTTATTAAAATTCAGAGCAATTATGAAGCAGCATTCTGAGGAAAATGTTTATGTTTTGCCTAAATTCTTGATTAACAGTTTATTTTGCTGCATCCAAATGAAAATTTGAATAGTTGTCAGTTATTTTAAGATAAACAAATTTTATAATTAAGTGCATTTTTTTTAATTGCTTAAAAATATAATTATAAAGTAATCCAAATTTAGGACCACTTTCCTTACAAAACTTTTCAGATATAGGCGAACTTCTATTTTTGTAGGTCAGAAATCCAAATCTGTCAAAAAAGGAATGTTTGTTCAGAAAAAAATTCATTTTTATGTCTGAAGTCGTGACTTAAAATATCGTTTGCTCAAATTAATTAGCTTATTGAAGTCATCCTCCTAAACCACCAAGAATGAATCCTGGAACGTCAAGATCCGGTCATTACATCAAAAATCAATCAGGGTAGTCTTTTTTTAAACTTTCATTTACTTATTTTACGCATTTGGGTCTACACTTGTTTGCTCCTTTGAAAATAACTCTTGAGACAATAAAACATGTGACCTTAACGTTTCTCATCACTAACTGAAATGTATTACCGTCTTCTTCTTACCAGTATCTACATTCACTCGAATGAAACTTAAAAATACCCTGATTAGGAACACATTACTGAATTGCACAAAAACTGTTGCGTCTGCTTGCAGAGAAACTGATTGAAGATCAGAAATCAGCGACACGAAAATATCTAAGATCCGTTCGAAATTCTCATGGAGCAGGAAAAAAATTTGATCCCCAGTGTTATGGAATAATTTATCAAATTTCAAACGTCGCACTCATGAAATGCATACCATTTGCTTAAATATGTGTGATAAATCTATAAAATGAGGATAAATTAAAAAAAAAAAAAAAAGAAGATTGGAACTAAGTTAAAAGAAAATATTGACGACAAGGCGGAATTGAATGTGCAATTAAAAAATTTAGCTCAGGGCTCAGACAACTTCATAGTATTTGGCACATATACTATGAAGTACTTCATAGTATTTTCTCACAGAATAAAACTCTTTCACATACGATTGAGATTTTAATTGTTGAGTTTTTAGCGATGAAATAGTTTTCGCCCATCTGTTCTTGCTCACATACGATTTTTTTTATCGAAAACGAAATAATCGGAGGAAGTGAGAATGATCTTTAACTAGATTTATCCAGCGTGACTGAAAAAAAAGCACAGGTACTAACCGATCGACTGTAGGGCTGATGTTTGATTGCTGAAGCTTTTGAAAAATGTGCAGCTTTTCATGACACACTTACCACAGGGGGAGTGTCAAATCATACTTCTGGATTTAAATTGCGAATAAAAATCAAAGCACAAATTTTGACACCAATTTTTGAACAAATTTAAAATTTTCTGGAAAAAAATGGCAGCACTGCCAGTTAAAAAAGCTGGTAAATTAAATTACATAGAGAAAAGTATATTTCATGGGCATCCTCTATGTGTAGACGAAGAGCCTATTGAAATTATGAATATAGAGTTATTAATACCTCGAAAAAAGTCTATCAGAAACTTTACCATTTATGACCATCATAAACCTTATAAGAACATTCTCATCAATTCAATCCTTTTAATTAGTCAATGTTAACTACCACTAGGGCTTACATTTCAAATAATTCATATTTAAATTAAAATCTTTTCTAACGCTAGAAGCAGACCCGCAAAGCCCATCAAAACCACAGACAAAGCAACTAGGTTCCTTTTGTTATTCAAGGAAATGCAGCTGCTTCTCAAGGATCCAGATCTTCAGAATCTACTTAGATCTCTGCTCACAGAAAAGACGTAGAGGCGGAGTTCACCCCACCAAGACATCCACAGCCACACTGTGGAATACCTACACCCTTATAGACAATATTCCAGGTGCCCACGGGCACAATCTTCGATGAAAGAGTGAATTGTCCGCTTCGCGGACAGGTACTCTGTATCACACCTTAGTTCAAGTTCAAACGCTACAACCGTATCTTAAATTTCCTGCACTCAGATGGGATAATGTTAGGTCGATTCAATACATAATTACCCCTCCCCCTTTACTCTGATGGATACTAAGAAGAGGAAGGGAACAAAAGTGATTCTCATTTTGTGAGTATACCACCCCTAGATATTTAACTAATTGCTCCCCCTTTAGATAATTAATTTGTATTTAAACTTCAATGCTCAATATTTTTGTTATTATTAGATACTTATAAGGTTCTATATTCATCTCATAGTTCATTTTTTACATAAATATCATTACTTAAGCTGTGCACCACAGCATGCTATTTCAGCCACCAACTGCCTCATTTTCCTCCAATTATCTATGCTATTTTGTCCCAGTTCCCTAAAGCGAAGTGTAGTGACCGCTACCGCTGGCAGATATAGTGCTGCTTTGAGGAGAACTCCTTCAGACTAAAAGTCTTGGGACTGTCTGCTACTATGGTAACAAGCGAGAACACGTTTCTAATGGGGGTGAAATGGAGGAAAGAAGGTGTCGACTGGTTTACTCACGATGACCTATGCTAAGATTAAGACAAAACTATTTTCCCTACACCCCTATTCGAAGTGTCGAAGTGTTTTCCTCGTAACCATAGTATACGCCACGACGCGAGACGGGTGTCTGGAGGAGTTCTCCGAAAAGCCCCACTATAATTCACCAATAACCAGATCGAGTCGAGTCGAGGTATTGTTGAGCAGTTTGAAAAAAAGAATAGAATAAACTCTTCCCGAAAACTAGCTAAAACTGAAATGATTTTACCACCAGTTTTTCCCCTTATCCGTTTTTATTAAATAAAAACTTTTCAATTCGTTCGATACAGTCATTTTGAAAAGACGTGTCTTATCTCCGAGCGAATAATGCCGTACAACAGAACAGCTCGCGGCGGAAAGGTGCTACCGCCTAGCCGCCCAATCACACCTCAGCAGGAGGAATCGGATGGAGAGTACGTGGATGTTATCGTCTACGATACATATGAAGAAGCCATCAAGGCCAGTAAAGTCCACCCAAAATTCATCATGCATCCAGATTCAACTCAACTTCCAGTTGCATTCTACAGTTGGTTCAGTGATGATGAACTAAACGAAATAAAAGAACTATTTCAGACTTTTCTCAACTCCTGCGAATATGGACAGATTTTCGACCACTTTCAAAAAATGCTTGATACGGTCTTAGTAGTTCGCAAGTTGAGGAGAGATAGTAAAAGAAGGGAAGAAAGGAGAAAACAGACAAAAAAGGAGGAACCAATGCCAAGCCATGAAGCTACTAG